CGCGTAGATCATGATGTTCTGTTAGAATCGCTGAAAACTGTTTTCCAAAATTCGCAGCGGGTAGTGTACAGCATCGATTTCTGTGGAACCCAGTAGCTGTCAAAACTTTCACATTTTTACGAATAACTCGGAAATCGTAAATTTTTCAGGTAAAACGTTTGACACAAACTTAACTTAAATTTTGACGACAAATCTGAAAATGAATGAAAAAAGGGGCGGTTCCATTTAAAAAACCAAAGTTGGTAACTACCACACGTTTATGATACACCCCGTATATTGGAAAGTAATTTTAAAATGTGGACCTTTTAAACATGAAAAACTTTCGTAGGACGTATTTTCTTGTAAAGTTCATATTTACTGAGATATCGCACTTTGACGCACTAATGAGCAACCCTGTATTATAATAATAGAATAGGAGAACCTTCACAGTTGTGTTCTTTGAACGAGCACACCGTTTTTTCCATTCATGAACATGCCATCATCTTGAGGTGAAATCGATCATTTCCTGGTAGATTCTTGAATCCTGGGTGTCTAGCCAAACGTTGGTCGAAAGCCAATTAACATTCATCGAAACCAATCAACTTTCACTTACTTCCGCGCCTTAATCAACATTTTTGACAAGTTTTTTTTGAATTTTCACTATATGAAATGATTAATGAATGCTATGTTGAGTTCGTTGCTGTTGCCTGGCGACGGACGCGCGGTAAGTTCAAAATATTCCATTTTTAGGCAGATATTAGCAAAAAATCCGGTAAAGTAGGAAAACTTGGAAAAAAGCGATCAGAACTTCAAAATTAAGCAGATTTTCTATTGCAATTCTGCCAAATTTTCGCATTTTTCAAAATAACAAACAAACTTGTTTCACTGCATCTCTATAGGAAAAAGCCGCAAGAAAAATTCCTTTATTTATCTCAATAATTTTTATCTGCATGTTCTACCCATATCGGAAAGATTGCGCTCGTATTCTGGGACACCGTGTATACCTACTGTGTAGATTTGCGTGGAACATGCAATCGAACTAATCCCAGACGTTCTGATTTAAGTTGGTTAATGTCAGGGCCCTATGTAAGCAGTTCGGACAATGCGTAACGTTAGTCGTTTCGTTGGGATTGCTTGGCAGCGGAACCGCGCATTTCGCACCGGTTAATTTTCAAAAAATCGCAGGTTTTTCCGCTTTTCTTCGCGATGTCTTGGGATTTTCCGTTGCAGAAAACTGTCCGTGAGTTGTTTGTGCTATTTTCCGGGCGTGGAACGGTAAATTTAACGCCGAAAACCGGATTTGTTTTATGGAGATTTTTGGCGTCGTCTGACAGACAAGTGAAGGCAAATTGCTACATAACCTCTCCTTCGTTTGAAGTTGGAACTTTTTGGGCCATGCACATGCGTGAAATGACGAACATTTTTGGCAGTCAACGAATGCTTGGAGATGAACCGGTTGATGCGAAAAAATCAACATAAACCTTTAAACCTTATTTATAATTATAAAAAATATAAACTAAGACAAAAACCTTAACACCTAAAAACTCGGGGTATTGCTCTAACGGCGCTGTCTCACAGGAAGCCCCACTAAATGCCAAGCCCTAGTTAGTTCATATATACTTAAGTTAATACGTTTTCCTGCAACAAAATGCTGTAACCCAAGCTAGTGTCTCTTCCTTAAGCAGCTTCTAACACTCGCGCTTGTAAATCTTCTCCATGATTTTGAAGAACAAGTCGTGGCGCAGCCCTTTGGAAATCTGCTGGATGTGGGTCTTGATAATGTTGAAGCTTTCCTCCTCATATATGGCATAGGTGTTGGGCAGGCACAAATCCACATACAGGTTCTTGATTCGCGCAATTGATTCTGGTTCGGGCCTGCAACCAATGGGATGCGTGATTGGAGAGTTTGCAGGCCAATAAGGATGCGCTTACCTTCCATAGTGCTCTTCCATGATCTTGCGCTGGGCCGGACTGGCCCGTTGTAGGGCCACGACAGCCAACCAGGAACACTTTCCGTCTTGGATATCGGTGCCCACTTTCCCGGTTACGGTTGGGTCGCCGAAACAATCCAGGAAATCGTCCTGGAAAGTCAGAAGTTTGAATTTGCTTGATTGCTGCTGAAAATAAAGCCGACATACTTGAATCTGGAAAAACTGCCCCATTTCCATCAGGATCGTCTTGGCCTGTCTGTGTTGTTCCTCGTCACTCATACCAGCCAAATACATCGCTATCGCTACTGGCATTTGGAAACTATAGAAGGCAGTCTTGTATTTGACAATCGATGTATATCTGGAACAGTTGAGAAAAATGTTCACACAACAACACGAATAAAGTTCCCAGTTGTGGCGATCGCGCCAGTCAACAGTTCCTTTGGCGGTATGCGGTTTTGGTGCCAAGTCGTATGTAGCATTTCATCAATTTGTTGCCGTGTTGCTTATTTAAACTGCTTATTTCTCTTTAGTTATTGCAGATGGCAGGAATTTTTTTTAAATAACATACGATAGATCTATGAGCACAAGAAGTGGCTCCGTATTAGATTCGGCACATTGAACGAGACGCTCTTTAAAAAAGTATGTTCAGTGTACTAATAAAAAGAGCCGTTCGAATTGAACGACTCATCACTAGTCAGAACCAAATTCCATATTATTATACTTAGTTAAACCGTTATAAACAATGTTTATCGCATTTGTTGCATAATTGCACAAGTTCAAGGGTAAAGCTCAACAAAGAACGCAGTATTTCCTCCCATACCTGCTCATAGTGAACATATCCAGCTTGGGTTTTCCATTCGTATCCAGACACATCGCGTCCAGACTTTGGCCCAAAGTGGTCTTGAGATTGCCTTCATGGAACAGCTCCATCAAGGGCACGTACATTGGATGGTCTTTCAGGTGCCTGAATCAGTTTGAGGGTTGGTTTGTTTCGATGTTTTTGATCGTGCTTAAGTGGTTACCTTTTGATCAGCAGGTAGACGGCATTTTCGATCATAACAGCGTCGTTGACAGCAGTCAGACCGATGCCTGATTGGCGGAACCAGCACAGGGCTCCTCTGCGTGTCTCGGAACCATCCATGATATCATCCAGAATGAGGAAATAGGCATGAACCTACAATGGCATAGAAAACAGTCTAGAGTGTCTGTTGATTACTTTCAAATTCAAATAATTAGAAATAACTGGTGCCACCACTGTCTTAAGTTTCCAAAAATAGCCATTTTATTGCATAACTGAATGGATATGATGATTATTTAAACAACCAATTGATGCAATGTTATCGTTCGATGTGGTTCGACCATTTATCGCCTCTTGATTTATTTTATGGTGTTTAACGAAGATTAGCTGCAAAACTATGTTCATGGGTTTCTAACGGTTGAATCAGATGCATTTGCTAGCAACGTTTCGGTTTTATACAGCCCAAAAAGTTCCGATTATTGACATCTTCAGGGAATTTTTAAGCCACTTTCTAGATAACGTACAACGTCTCCTTAAACTAGGCCTGGGTAACACTGTGTTGAGTTGCCCTATTGAGTCGTTGCCGCTCTCTGAGTTACCGAGTTATAACTCATCGGTTCATGAGTTATAGGTGATTTATTAAAGCTTTACGAGACTGGAATATTCACATCTAAAAAAAGGTCATTAACATTTTTTCCGCGTAACGTTTTACTACTTTGTTCAAACAACGAAAAAAAAGTCATCTAGATTTTCCCAGCAACAGAACTGAGTCCAAAGAAAATTTACGAGTTTTCTTGTAAAATCGATCTCTTAATTTTTTGCATAAAGGACTCAGTTTGCCAGTATTTTACAGTAAAACGTTAGGAAAAACGCGGTTATCCTGTTTAGAAACAGTGTTGTTTAGAAATATGGACCTAAAAGTGAAGAAACCCCAGTTTCCAAGAGTTTTCCAAATAAATGATTATAACTTTTTCGCTTTTCCAGTCCGGGGAAATATGTTTGGAAAAATACACAGAAATTATTATTAGGGTTTTGTCCATAATTCGAAGCTGCAAAGTTTCCCAAAAAGTTTCGCTAATCGGTTAAGGAGGCAAGTGTTCCAATAAAATTTATCTTATAATTTTTCACAGAAAATCCCTGAATATTTTTGATTAGATATTTTTGCGTAGAAAGAATTGCTTAATAGAAACTTTCGATTACAAACCTTTAGTTTTGTGATCGGTTTTGGAGAAAACCTTAATGGTTTTCGGGGAAAACGGGAGGAATTTATTTTCGTTTTTGTCCCGAATTCGTCGCTGAAAAAAGTTTTTGTAAAATTTTTATAAAGGTATATTTTTACCTTGTAACTTTTCGAGTAAAATACCTCGCGATCGTCAGTATTTATAAGTGAAACTGTATAAAATAGAACGTTTTTCAATAGAAAGTAAAGCGAAAAAAAAATCTGTCAGAACTAAAAACCACATTTTTTTTAACAAAACATACAGTCTTCAGAGGTATGAAGGTGGCGAGATTTCCAAATAATCTGTTATAAACTTTCGCTAATTCTGTTAATTTTTTGATAGAAAATTATTTGATTTTTGTTCCAAATTCGATGCTGTAAAGGGATTTAAAAACTTTTTATAAAGCGACGAAGGATTCGAAATTTATTTCATAATTTTTCACGGAAATAGCCTTAAATTTGTAAGCAATTTTAAGTGAAACTTTATAAAATAAGCATTTAGAAGAAATAGTAACTTGGCTAAAACTGAAAAATTCTGAAAATTTGAAGAAATTAAAAAAATATTATTAATAAATGGCCCTTAAAATAAATCTAAAAACAAGTAAAAAAAGCCATCAACATTTTCCCAGCAACAGAACTGAGTTACTGCGCCGGTGCGTTGTTTTAAGTTAAGCGATTTGCGTATCACTGCGCCAACTTCTAAAAATTCACTGAGTTACCCACCCTACTTAAACTTCAGGGTCCACTCTTTCGAAAATTAATCTTGCCCTGAAGAGCAGACCGTTAGGTGGTAATGGTTGCATTCGATAGGAAAAACACTGTTTTATAAAATCCGAGTTTCGAGTTGCGGTCATCTTCAAGGATTTTTCGGGGATATGTTGAATTGATGTAACGTTTCAATCGACAATTTCTACAGTGTGTTTCTAAAAAATTCCCGTTGCATTCGTTGGACAAATTGTTATTTAATAAAGCCTGAAAGTTTCGAACTGCGATTACTATCAGGATTTAAAAAAAAAAAATTAATGCGTTCCTCATTCGCAATACGTTACACGTTATAAAGCTTGCCAAATGTATTTCCCATCTACACATCTACACCATTGCACAGTTTAAATTGAGTGTTTGTAAAATATTCCCATAATCGGGCTGTTATTGTTATTTCCTGCAAATTAATGCGCAAATGTGATGTTACTCTCATTGCTTAATTGGTATCCAAACAACATATAAGAGCTTTTTTCTGTATATACATTAATGCAAACTGTGTTCATGTTACATTCATTGTAGTTGCTGACTTGATATAAGTAATAAAACTATGATCGCTTAAGCTGCGAGCTAATAAAAATGCCTGGAGATAACGCAGAGCACGCACAGGTAAACAAACGAAAAACTGGATTTGAATTGTTTTTCAATCCGTCCAATTGCATTAAACGAGGTTGGCAATCCTAAAATAGATCAGTCGGGGTTTTTTGGGCTTTAGTGCATGATTTGAAGCACGTAGCACTTGGAGGGTTTTTGGTTGGTGGCCAAGTGTTATGTAAGACTTGTTTTTTTAAATTAATAATTGCATTTTCGCATGGATAGTCGCGACTAGGATGAATGCTTTGTATGAACGGCCGGCAAATGATGTTCTGCTCTACTTTTTCGTAAATTGTAACAAGTTAATCAGGAGTATGAAAGTGGTACCTTCGGTCTTTACCGCTTGTGTTAACTTTGCAAGCGATTCAAAAATTGGGTTTTGGTTGCTTGGGAGTGCAATTTGGTACAGATTTAGCTCTAAACTTCAAGAACATCTGGACAAATTTCGTGTTGGAACGTGCACAATTTTGGGTGTTACATATTATATTATTATAGTATTTTCGAAATGTAGGTTTGGATGCTCTAAAAAACCCAAATAAATCCCACACTTGAAACTACAGTGGCGTATCTTTGAAGACACATAAAAGGCTTTGGACCTCAAGAAAGTCAAACAAAGCCTATCCCTTTACGAGGGGTACTTAAGAAATAAATTCAATTGCCGACTATTAAAAATAATCTAAATAAATTATCCCGCGCGACTGTTACCAAGACAACAGTGCAAAAATAGTTGTTAATTATCATACACGTATCCACTCACATTTATTCACGCCAGGCCATCGTGATATGATTAAATTAAAAACTGTTGTACCGCTTTTAATTAGAAACAAATTAGAATCGAGTTTGTCGTGTTTTGAAAGTTTACCGGGTCTTGTAAGAGAGCGTGGGGGACTCGACTTACCATTTCAACGCACCATCCCAGAATGCTGGCCAATCGAATATTCTCCGGAGTGAGTTTTTCCGGATCTTCCAACATTCTGTAGGTCGACAGGACGATTAAGCCGCGATTTTTCTTGCCAGTAGGCGTGTTGTATTGCAGAACCTGCAGGAAGAAATCGTTACTTACATACCGTTTTTTCAAAAACATCAATTACAATTGTAACAATGTGGCAACGCATGACTTACCCTGGCAAAGCGGCGCATGACATCAGGAAGTTCTTGGCTTTTGCCCACCTCAGTCAGCTCCCGGACTAGATCCGGAAACAGCGCCATAAAGTCCCTTGACTGTTCTTTGGTTACGAGGGCACTGCTTTGAACAGGCCTGATCATGCTCTGCTGAATGGTCGACAATGCCCTGAAACAACCACATTAATTTAGTCTGCACTTCGGGCAGTTCAACGATCTTTTTGTGGTTGTTGAGGACCGTAACCAATCGGTTAATTTGCTGGTTAATCAACCACACTTACTGTTTGGAGCTGGTTGCGTCCATCATTGTAACCAGTTCAGAACGAATTGCTTAGAAAAAATGCCTTATTGTTCAATTGAACCGAATTTAGACTCATTTGCATAAGAAGAGCCAGAGTCAGCAAGGGTCAAGCTTGTGAAAGGGGATGTCTATTTTTGGAACGCAATGTACTGGAGCATGTGATGCTCCAAACTGAACACAGCCGGAATATTTCCTTTTATCTAAGTACCGTAAATGCCACTTAAATGTGCAATTAAGATTATCCACTTCACTTAAAGAGATTGTGGAATTTGCCTCATGAAAAACCAATTAGGAACGGCAAATCTTCCGCAAACACCGTAAGGTTGGGACACCCCTCGTAACACGATGGGCCGCATTGATAGGCGCAACCCGAACGGTGATTGGCTGGAGCGCGCCCTTAATATGCGCTACGAGGGGTGTAGCAATAGTTGCTCGAACAGCAAGTTCTATTCAACCCTCACCTAATATTGTTGTGATGCATTTGTTTCTTCCATCGGCTGTAACTTCCAGTCGAATCGCTCTCCACATTGAGTTTGTGGTCTGGAGCCCGCGATATCGCGCCGCTGTTCTTGTCCGTCGACGTTTTGCTGATAGTTCGGCGAGCCTCCCTCAGGAACTCGCGGCAGCTGCGATTGCGACACAATTTCATCGAAAACATGTCAATTGAATGCAAAGAAATGAACGCAAAAGGAAAATTCGCGATGCGACCACTCTTGAGGAAGTCGATCGACTGTGACAGAAGAAAACAGGGCTCTGAGCTTTTAAAGCGGACAAGAGACGCAACGAAAACAAGTTTCTGTCTCTCTCCAGCTTGATTAGTCTGCACACGTAGTGAATGAGTGGATTGATTTACAATGTTGTCGAGGTTGGACGGAACTTTCAGAAGATCTGGGATGTGAGCGTGTGAGCTTTGAACCATGCACATCATCCGATGGGGATTTGCAATTTCAAAAGCAAAGTTCAGTCTGTTGCATCTGTTATTTACTTTGCAGACAACACAATGGGAAGACTGTTTGATTAAGACTTTTCGGGGTTTAGCTCAATTGCGTCCAAAGGAGCGTGTTTGGAAATTTTCGCACAAAAAAAACGCAAAAAAGGTGATTTGGGTAACATTTTTTGCAGGTTTAGGATTGGGAAGTTTAATGGGGGTTTAATAAGGGTTCGTTTTTTGCGAAAGTCCTGCCAGTTGTTTTTGCGCTCATGTTGAGCTTTTGCTTAGATTTAGTGCATTTGTCACCTATATGGCTTTATTTGCATGTATATAAACCTTCTTCTTTAGGCTCTTGTGTTAACATCTTTGGATAAATTAGCTTCTGTCTTAATGTCGACGATTTTTTATTCCTAAAACTCAAGCGCCGATTGCTGTAATTTTACTTAGTTTCATGGAACTTTTCAGCGTTGCTTGTAGTTAGAGTTTTGAGAAAGTTTTCTTGATTTTGGCGTTTTTCCTGGATGAATGACTATGTGGCAACCAGGTCCATGGTCTACGTGAGCAATGCGAAACATCTTATGTCTTATGCGATGAGAAAACTAAAGTATATAACAATTATGTGTTTACCGTGTTACACTGCAAGCGAGCAGGGACCGGAATAGTTTATGTTTATCTGTTATATGTTATCGGCCTGCTTCTAATGGGGCAATTTAGAAATCTAAAAATAAACATTTTGAGCCTCATAAGGTAGATAAAATGACCATCTAATGGAACTCAAACGGGTCATGGTTACTGGAAATTAACATATCGGACACAATGTGGAGTATGTTTCCAGTCTGGCGGCTCAACCTCAACATCCCTCAGTGTGAATTTGCAAAAAAACTCATAGAACAAAGCGCGCTTCCCATCAAATAAGGTCAATATCACTGTATGGGCTTTTTGAAATTAGTTCATCAACATCGCTATCTTCGAATTGATCACTGTAATTAGCGCATTTGCGTTATGGGTAATTTTTCGGTTAATGCCAATTAATCTGATTGGCCTTGCAGTGGCGTAACATGACAATAACGAGTTTTAATCAAAAAGTCGATGTTTACAATGTCTAAAATATTGAAAACATTTGGAATTTATGGAAAAAACACGCAAAGTCGACAAAAAATTGAAACTGTCGAATGTTAATCTTCGAACTCAAGGATTTTGTGCTATTTTCAACTGTCTGTTTGGACGCTCCTAAAACATTGGTTTGTTCTGCAATTGAAGTAACATTTTGCGCGGTGGGAAAGCTCCAGCATTAGTCAATGTTTGATGAAAATTTCATGTTGAAACTTGCCTCTTGCTTTGGAAGATACAATTTTTCTTAAATGGGCGGCAAGGTTCAGTGTCTTTTCCAACCGTATGTTTCGATCCTCGTAAAAAATGGTTTCTTCTGCGATTGAAGTAAAATTTATTGGTGGAAAGCTCAAGTATTGGCCAATGTTTGACGAAAATTTTATGGTGAAACTTGCCTTAGTTTGGAAGATACAATTTTTTTCAAATGGACGGCAATATTCAATGCTTTTTCCAACCGTATTGTTCGATCCTCGTAAGAAATGGTTTCTTCTGCGATTGAAGAAAAATTGGGCAGTGGGAAAGCTCAAGAATTGGTCAATGTTTGACAAACATTTCATATTGAAACTTGCCTTAGTTTGCCTAGTTTGGAAGATACAATTTTTTCAAATGGTCGACAACATTCAGTGTTTTTTCCAACTGTATGTTTCGATTATCGTCAAAAATTTGTTTCTTCTGTGATTGAAGTAAAATTTGGTGGCGGGAAAGCTCAAACATTAGTAAATGGTTGACGAAAATTTCATGTTGAAACTTGCCTTAGTTTGGAAGATACATTTTTTTTCAAATGGGCGGCAAGGTTCAGTGTCTTTTACAACTGTATGTTTGAATTCTGGTAAAAAATTACTTGCTTTTGCGATTGAAGTAAAATTTGGTGGTGGGAAAGCTCAAGTATTGCCCAACGTTTGACGAAAATTTCATGGTGAAACTTGCCTTAGTTTGGAAGATACAATTTTTTTTCAAATGGACGGCAAGATTCAGTGCCTTTTCCAACTATATGTTTGGATTCTCGTAAAACATTACTTGCTTTTGCAATTGAAGTAAAATTTGGAGGTGGGAATGCTCAAGCATTGGCCAACGTTTGACGTTTGGCCAACGTCTGAAAGATACATTTTTTTTCAAATAGTCGGCAAGATTCATTGTCTTTTCCAACCGTACGTTTCGATCCTCCTAAAAAATAGTTTCTTCTGCGATTGAAGAAAAAATTGGCGGTGGGAAATCTCAAGCACTGGTCAATGTTTGACAGAAACTTGTCTTGGTTTGGAAGATACAATTTTTTCAAATGGGTGGCAAGATTCCGTGTCTTTCAACTGTATGTTTCGATGCTAAAAAAAAATAGTTTCGTCTGCCACTGGAGCAAAATTTTGGTGGTGATAGAGTTCGACCATTGGGCAATATTCTGTGGAAATTTCATGCTGAAACTTGCACTAGATTGGGAGATACAAATTTTTTCAATGGCGCGGCAAGCTTCAGTGTCATTTCCAACGGTATTTTGGATATGTTAGACGAATTATCAACGAATCTTTATTCCAGACAAAACTCATAAAAACAGGCTTTTGCTTTGCATAAATTCAAATTCCGTTCCACGAAAATCCACTGGATGTGGATCAATACAAAACAAAATACCGGTTGCTCGCATGCTTATATTGAATCACACTGTAGAAATCAGGTGGCAGACGTACGCCACTGTAGAAGCAGCATCAGTAGCGAAAAGTGACGAATTCGTGTGCAATGACCAGGGGCGCTTTCCCGGAAACCGCTTTGTCCGAGCTTCCGGGCCCCCCGTTCCAAGGCTCCGGGCCTGCCATCACCAAAGGGTCTTCTTTCGGTTCTTTCGGTACTTTACAGTTTGCTGGATAGCTGGCTGGTGGTACGCGGCTCGTGCTACCGCTCGTGTGTGATTATTATTATTATACGCCCGATTTGCAGTCAAGTGACGAGACAAGACTTTTAAATCATTCGACTGTATTTTACTTGGTTCACCCGGTAGACGGCAGACCGAAGAGTTTTTGCTAGGATTATACTTGGTAAGACACATTTTTTTGCATCCCTTCATTGAACGCTTTGCAGGGGAAAAATCGTTTGTCCACTTCAGATTTTAAAGATATCTTAATGGATTGTACAGTGTTTAAAAAAGCATGCCCCGAAAAGGTTTTTATTAGTTTAAAAAACTATTACTAACAACTGAGCAAACGTAGGGCTCACGCGCTGTATGGATCTTCCATCCAAAGTTCGGGTTTATCGTAGCCGAGACTTTCAGGAAAATCGCACCCCAGCTCGGCCACAGTCGGCCCCACTTCCTGCAATAATAATTGGGATAATTCTGACGATAATTGCAACATCAACGTTTCCACAGGATTCCAACCAGTTTTACAGTAAATACGCGATTCATCTAAAGGAAATTTTGAATTGTTTTTTGGTTTACTGTAAGTTTATCTACTTTTGGATTTAATAGTACAAAAATATTTTTCAAACGGTCTCGCGCTCTAGACTGATATATTTTAAGCGGTGAAAGTATCAAGATGGAACGTAGCAAAGTGTAGGACATCGCGCATCGCCCTAAACTTCTATGGGTGTGAGTGCGAAATCCGATGCGTGCTACGTTCAGGAATGGAAATATTTGTTTTATTTAAGAAACGTCGCATCTTAAGAGATTCCGCTCCCGGTACGGATGTATGTGTGTTATTACATTTAAAATAGAGCAAATATTCACTATAATTCGTTCGGCTCGCCTCATGCGAACAAATGCGCGTTTACTTTTACTATCCAATTCTGATTTTTGCTACGTTGGTAACGTTCAGAATGATTCTTAAACCGGATTTTACATTCTGTTGCTTCGCTTTCTTGCCGCAGTCGTCTTAATCAGTCTTTTTTGTCTTTGTACTTTGATTTTTGAGCGGTAGATTAATCATGAAAAATGTTTGGGTGTTTTCTGGTTGTTGCTAGTTTCAAGTCGTTTTAAGGAGCCGAAATCGTCAAATTATGGTGAAGGTTTCAAGAGCGTTTACTTATACTCAATAGAATGTCCCTAAAGCTACTTGTTCGCAACGAACGAACGAAACGAGTCAACAACAATCAAGCAAATATTAAATTTCGTTAGTTTCGTGCGTTCGATGCGAACAAAGGCGCCCTCAGCTTTAGCAACATTATTTTGGAGGCACAAAAGTAGTTTTGGAGGCACAAAAATGAAACATTGATGAGTTTGGTGCCTCAAAAGGGCTTCAAACTGAAAACATCCGTATTCTTTCTCCTTTAAGGCAAGTTGCATTTATGTGCATCGAACGTACGGGATGTGACACTGAATATTTGCCATTGGACTAGGGAAAGAACCAAGTTCGTGTACGCAAAAGGCTAGATAAGTTTGGGTACCTGGACTATATAAGGATAGATCTCATTGAGTTTGGGGCCGCACTTGTACTTGACCATCTCAAGGAACCGAACCGCTAGGGCATAATCATTGAGACGTCTGCAGGCATGCAACGCGGCGATAATAATTCTGGGTTCCGGAACCGAATCGTACCCGCCCAAATCGTTCATGGCTTGACGCACGTCCCAACCATCCGCATCGTCTCTCCCAAAGATGCATTCGTACCTAGAAAGGACGCTTGGGACCTATAAGGGCGGCTGAGAACCCCACGATCGGGGAACGAACCTGCAGATCATCTCTTCTACGGTTTCATTGTGGATGGCCAAGTGGCTGATGTGACGGACAAATGGGGCGGAACCGGACACATAACAGATTTGCTGCAATACTTGCCTGAGCATCCATGCGGGCCTGGACAACATTCTGGAAATCGACATCTGGAACAGAACAGTCGTGATCAGTGATTGCGCAAGTGACAGTGACAGGCGGTTTCCAGGGTGACAAGCGCTTTCAATTTCAAAGGAAGCGCGATTTTTTCGGTACGGAGGATCTACGGGATAATCGGCCCTTTTGTTACGCCTCACTGGCCTGCTCTTCAATACAAATGGGCTTCAATAGATTCAATCAAAGCCATTAGGAGGCCAACAGCTCTTTTCCGGGTTCCCATGGAATTTTCGATCAATGTGTCAACGTTGTTCCTACATATAATCAACGTCACTAGCGCAAGGGGTGGTTTAGACATTTGTTCCATAGTTACCACTATACAGGGTGATTGAGAAAAATTAGTTAATAATGGGTTTACGTCAGTCTATGGCGTTGACCTCCGTGCATAGAAACACCCAAACATTGTATGTAATTAATTTGGACGACATATTTTGTCCGTTCGTGAGAGTATCTAAATCTATCGCATTGAGAGTAGCGCGCCGGACAAAGAGCCGGAACCGCACATCCGGAGGTTGTGCGCATCGACCGGAACATCAATGGCACATTCCGTCAACGGTGCTAAATAGATTGTTCCCTACTATTACTACATTCCGTTGCAGGTTCATTTGCCATTTGCGTTATTTTCCTGGGCTCAATGGGTTCATATTGACCCCAATATGCATAAGAAGTTGGATCAGAATGAGTGGTGTTTTCTGAGTCGGTTCAGTTGGAAAACCAATTGAACTAGTTGAGATGACGCAGAAACATCAGAACAGTGTAAGCGTTCAAGCAAAATACCTCTGAGGATGCAAGCCATTTGTGCTTACGAAACGCCAGGAAGAAATTCCATTTTACGATGGCCTAAAAACCTTCTAGTTTCAAGTAAAAGCCTCAAAAGTCTATCTCTTTTTGATAGTTGCCTAATTGCTAGTCAGATAGTTAATGCTGGTGACCTCTTTGACCACGCAAAAATTTCAATAATAAATACGCCTCTTTATGGTCGGGTGGACGGATGGGTAAACCATGTGAAGGTATTTAATCTAGCGGCACTATTATTTTGCAAATCATCGATGGCAACCTTTTCGGTCGCCAGACCTGAAAAAGCGCAATTTTTTGCCTTTTATTAGGAACTGGTCAGCGTATTTTCCTATTGACCTTCTCGAACCAGTAATATACGGGATGCGCCCCATAATTAATGGAACAGGAGGTTAGAAACACTCTTAGGTAGCTATCACATTTTGGAAAACCAAAATATTTTGGGGGTTTCCATCATTTCTAACGAGTAAATAATTACTTACAATATTTTTCAAGCAATTCTTGGGAGGCGTCATCTACTAAATCGGCAAAATCAGGATTCGGTGCGGTTTCAATCGATTTTGCACTACATATTTGGAGAACAAGTATCTTCTATACTTATAGTATTATTATCTTCTTATATACTTCTTATTCACGCTATACGCCACGGACGTTTGCGGCTGGTCCGTTTGTTTTTTGCAAAGTATTATTTGATGAATCCACAGAGGCCTATCGGGTGCACATTTTAAAAATATTTTTGTAATATACAGAGTATCCCAAAAGCCTTAAAAGTATCAAAGTTGTGTTTTTCTAAATGAAATACCCTATATATTATTGCATTTTTGGATTCTCTGAGCAAAATAAGTGTTTGTTTTAATAAG